CCGCATATGCTTTCGGAAAAACCCTGGAATAAGTTTGTTGGGGCTGGCTCCCGGCAACTGTCCCTGCTTTAAAAAATAAACAGTTGCCCAGTTTTATTTTTCTGAGCACTAGTATGCAATGGAGTCCAGGTGTGGCACTGTATGATAAGCACTGGACTACTAACCACAAAGTTGGTCATCCAAACCACCAGGCTATCCTTGGAAGCCCTACACAGGATTGCTATGAGTTTGAATCAACGCCACGGCACTTAACAACAACAACAGTATGCACTGTTAATTGTTTTTTTCCTATATGGAATCATAATTTGTGATAAAAAAAAGTGTATCATACATTTATCTCCTTGGTAAATTAGATGATTCATAGCAGTGAAGGGCCTTTGAGATAGACACAACATCTTAGTATTTTAGATCAACTCTATTTAAACAATGCTTTGAATACAGCAGATGCAAAATTTGTGTTTGAGGAATCTGTACTTTTGAACCTAAATTATCTATGAATATTGTGAGATATCGTTAAGGCAGTAGGTTATACTGGTTTCTATGAATTCCGTTTGCGCATATGTTTTACAGAACCTATATAACCTTGTATTTCAATGTAGTAACTGAATTATTGTAGTAAGATGTCAAGATATGTTCAATAAAAGCATAGGAAGTATTTAAAACACATGCTGACCACTGCAATATAAATGGAAGAGACCCCAAAATGCTATATTAATATTATAAATATTAAAACCAGCATGAGCCTCAATACAAATAGAATTTATGTCACTTACCTGACTTATTACTTTTCAGGAGAATGACACGCTGGGGAGAATTTGATGATCTTTATCATATTAGTGATCTGGACAGGACCCAGATTCCTGTGATTGAAGCAAAGAAGTTTGGGGAAGGTCAGTATCAAAATCTTATTAGTAGGGCAGGCTTTTTTTTTTTAACCAATGAGAAAGAATTCTTCTAAATTACTTTTTTAAATCTAACATTTTACACACTACTGTTCAGTAAACTCCTAATATACAAGCATGAGTCAAAAATTATCCCCATTCTAACTGTAGAATTTATTTTAATCAACTTTTAGAAAGGACAAATGCATCATTTTTTTTATATCTTGAGAGTAAATGGCAGAGTAAATGGAAACATCCTCAATCATCAACCAACAAAAATTTCAAAATCAACCATCAGCAGGAAAATTGATGCTTACAATTTTCTGGGATCCTAAAGGGTCAGTATTGGAACACTATCAGAAAAAAGGTTCAACAATAAGCAATGCTGGTTACAGTGAGATGCTCACTGAAAGCTGAAGCCTAAACTTCAGATTAAATGTAGAGGATTGCTATCCAAGGGTCTTATGATACTGCATGACAATGCATGGTCACACACCTCTGCCCACACTGTTGACACTCTGCAAAAACTTCGTTTTGTAGTGTTAAATCATCCTGCCTATTGTCCTGATCTTGCTCCATCAGACTTTCACCTGTTTGGTTCCATGAAGGCGATACTTCAAGGATGAAGAGTCACCTCTGATGAATAAATGTACATTTGTGGCTCACAGCTCAGCCTAAAATATTTTTTAATAAGGGAATATGAAAACCTTGTTGACAGATGGAAAATATGTGTTGAAAAGAAAGGAAGTGTTTTATTCTCCAAATAAGATGTACATAGGACATGAAAGCTGCCAAAATCATTAGTCATTGTTGTTGTTTATGGGGTTTCCAAGGTGGTGGGCTTGAACCACTCATCTTAAAGTTAGGAGTCGCATGCCAATCCTACATGGAAAATGCAAATCAAAGGTAAATGACATACTATTTCATAGTCACTTGTTGTGGTTAGGTGCTGTCAAGTCATTTTGGACTTTCTCTAAAGTTTTATTAAAATAAATTCTACAGACAGAGTGCGGATAATTTTTAGCTCACCGTCGTGAGTGTGTGTGTGTGTGTGTGTGTGTGTGTATTTACGTCTCTTATGAGCAAAGTAACTTAAGTCACTGTAATTCTCAGATGATATTTAAGAACCTTACTTTACCTTACATATTAAAAAAATGTGATTTTTTTTAAAATGTCAGCAAAGTATGTATATTTATTAGATTTGGAGATGTATTTTGAATGAAGTTTGTGTATATATAATTGTTCAATATTGTCTGCAAGGATTAGGATCATTTATTGTAGTCAGTAGCTCTTAATGTTAGACCATGCCCTCTTTTTAGAAGTTGAATATTTTATTTAACTAATGAGTATTTACATAACATTGCCCATTTCAGTATGTTGGAGTAACTTTTTATATTTCGTGGAGTCATTTCAAACATTTATTTAAAAGACAGAACGAATTATTTGCTTGAAAATCAAGAGGGCTACTATTAAACTTGATAAACAAATGACAATTGCCACCTTCTGTGAACTGTAACATTTGCCATCATAATAAGGGTTTGTGGCGATGTGATTATAATAATGATATCAATGGCTATCATTTCATGAGACTCAGCTATGGGTCAGGCATGTATTTTATATGCAATTCTAAAATACACATAAAGATCTATAGAGATCCATGGAGGAGCTGATGAGTGACGTGAAGGGGGGGTTTATTTTCCAGCAGTAGTGATATAATCAAGCCAGGTTTAAACTGAATAGGCTATCCTACTAGAATGATCTTTATGAGTTTGCCAACAGCTTCCAATTTTTAGTTATTATTTTTTTCCAAATCCTTCTCAATTTGGCCTGCTTTTGTGGTGCTATAGGATAAGCACTCAACTGAAAAGTTGGCTTGAACTGCAAGGTCAGTGGTTCAAACTCACCAGCTGTTCCTTGGAAACTCTATTCAGTGTTGCTACAATTCGGAATCAACTTAACAGCACTTAACAACAGCAAAAACAACAACTGTCTCCATAATAAGCCACATTCTATAACAAATCTAGTCTTCCTTCAGTGGTTCCTTTTCTAGCTTTAGGGGTTCTTGTAATTGTGTTATACAGCAACCCTTCCAAATAGGCCTTTAAACAGTTTAAGGACACCCAATATCTTTGCATCAAATATAACATAAAAATCTACTTCTGTCCTCACACAACAAAATCAGATAAAAGTACTTCAGAAAAGTGAAGGATTTCACATCTATCTGATAATAATCTTAACATAATAAATGTTATAGTTGTTGTTAGGTGCCATCAAGTTGATTCTGATTCATAGTGAACAACAGAACAAAGAACTTTGTGGTTCTATACCATCTTCACAATTGTTGTTTTGTTTGAGCCCATTACTACTGCCACTGTGTTAGTCCATCAATACCTACTTAAAAGCCCAAAGTGAAGTACAACAAATGGTCCTGTTCTTAGATGCTTAGTTGATGAAATTAGCAAAGATTCTAATTACAAGTAGATAAAGGAGAAGACAGGTTTGAAATCTCCTGCCTCTTCAGCTTAAAATATTTTATAGTTTGACCCAATTCTACTTAAATGATCTCTGCCTACCAAGTAGATAGGTAAAGTAGAGGATCAGCAACAAAGAGGAGGATCTTCTATGAGATAGATTGACACAAAGGCTGCCACAATGGACTCAAACATAGCAGTGACTGTGAGTATGGCACAGGACAGTGCAGTGTTTTGTTGTTCATACATAGAGTCACTATGAGTTGGAACCGACTAAATGCCACCTGGCAAAAAGAACATCAATGCTATATTACAATCTTATACCCCAAAATCTGCTATAGAAATTGGACTCTAACTAAAAAACTTAATTATGACTAGTACATTATGGATCAATGGGTATACACGGCCCAATGAGAATAACAAGACAGTGAGTGGATGATGAGGGACAAAAGTAATTTATATTATATTTCTTGTATGTTCTAGAAAACATTTATATGAATAATCTCCATGATTTGTTACCATTAGACACTAGTACAAAGTATTGTTTTCCTTTGGGCTTTATAAAAGTTGGAAACAAAGTCCTTAGAGGCTCTCCAAAGAACATACTTGTCTTCTCAACGATCTTTCAGCGACTTTAGCCAATGTCTGTCTTTTTAGAAAAGGTCCAGTGAACCTTGAATCAAAGAAAATTAGGACTCTAGGTATGAATCTATCATTAACCAGTATCGTGTCCATAGGAAAGTCACTTTAGCTCGCTGTACCTTAGTGATCTCACAATTGGTTATTAGATTTCTTTTATTATAACATCCTGAAATTTCATATAATGCATTAACCCCCAAAACATTAAAATTGAAAGAATACTCAAACTCCAGTTATATGATCATTTCCTTGATAAAAAAAATTGACTGTAAGAATTTTCCAGAAATGGTCTCAGACAGCATGCAGTATATTAATATATAGCTAAGTAGTGGACTATTCAATTTTTAAACTGCCAGGAGATAACAAAATTACTGAAAATTAATGAAAACATATACAAATCCATCCAGGATGCTAGAAGGTGGAGAGCTAAATGACATAGGCTTATAATCTTTATTCTTCCCAGATTATTTATCTTATCACAGCAGCACCTTGAAGTCTCATGCAAATGAAGAGCCAGAATCCCCACTACTCTACAGAACTATGAGTGAAGCAGCCTTGGTGAGAAAAAGGATGAAGTCTCCAATGATGGAACGAAAAGATAGACAGAACCATAGGGCCTCTATCAATGGACACTTCTATGACCATGAGGTGAATTGCATTTCTATCAGTTCAATTTAAAATAGTGTTGTCTATTGAACTAACAATACCACTGAATTCAGCTTACAATGAAAAATAGTAATAATAGCAATAAAACATTGTTTTGTGTTGATTCCAACTCATGGTGAATCCCTGTGTGTCAGAGAAGAACTGTCCATAGAGTTTTCAATGGCTGATTTTTCTGAAGTAGTCCACCAGGTCTTTTTTGTAAAGTACCTCTGGGTGATTTTGAACCACTTACCTCTGCGTTAGCATCCAAGGAAATATATTAAGTGTTTGTGACACCCAGAGACTCCCAAATAATAATAGTGGTAACATATCTAACATTTATCCTAAGTGCTAGATATTAAATGGTTTTAAATTCATTTTTAATTAATTATTTCATTAATCATTAGAACAACATTCTAAAGTAGATATCATTGTTTTCTCCAATTTGTTGTTGTTGTTGCTGTTGTTAAGTGTTGTAGAGTCAGTTCCAACTTATAGCAACCCTATATAGGGTTTCCGAGGAGCATCTGGTAGGTTTGAACTGCCAATCTTGTGGTTCGAAATCCAATGTTGCCCCCACAGCATCACACTTTAAAAGATGAGTTAATTGAAGTTAACAGAGGTTAAGTCATTTGTCTTTGTCATGTTGCATTTGAGTAGTAACTAAACTTGAACCCAGGTTTGTCTGATTTCAGAACCCACTTTCTTAGCCACTGTGAAGGGTGAACCCATCTGAACTGGGTTGAATAGTATCTTCTAAAAATTCATGGCTCCCTGAATCCTGTGGATATGAAAACTCTATTTAGAAAAAGCATTTTTGCAGATATAACTAGCTAGGGTGGGCCTTAATCCATTATGATGGTGTCCTTATAAAGAGAGGAAAATTTGGACCCAGAGACTCAGAGGGAAGGGAGCTCTGTGAAGATGGAGACAGAGATTTGAAGTGATGGATCTACAAGACAAAGAATGCTCCATGAGGAAGCCAGGTGCAAAATATTGACTCTTATTAGTTAATACTTTTTTAAGTATGTATATGACAATTTTTTTATAGACATCAATTTTCACTCCAGCCTTTGAATCAGAAACTAAAGTCAGAGTAAACAGTCACATGAGCACTGAAGAAGTGATAAAGCAACTTCTCCAAAAATTCAAGGTAATCTTCATCACTAAACTCGGCTATAAATGTCTCTCTCGTATGCAATGTAGCTGCAGAAACTTCTCTAAACACACTCTTCTAAAAAAAAAAACACCTGAATATATAAATTCTATTTTAATTGGCTGCTCAGTTGTGAAGGATTCTTTCTTGTATAGAACTGCTTTTAGTAACTGTGCCCTGCATGAAATCATATTCTTCCCAGAGAAGCAAAAAACTCTGATTTATTGTCTGAAAGTGAAGAAGCAAATGTATTAATTGAATCTAGGTGATTGAGATAAGATCATATGAAAACAAATAATTCATGCTTGTTTGTATTTTTGCCCTTTTACAGATTGAAAATAGTCCCCAGGATTTTGCTCTTTACATTATTTTTTCAACAGGAGGTAAGAAAGCTTATAATTTTTTCTTAAGTTTTTAATTGTGAATTATATCATAGTTTACATGGGAGAACATTAGCTTTACATTCATCATATCTTTTTTCACTGCATTGCAATGATTACAATTCCCTGCATGCATCATCAAACAGCCAAAGGGTACACCCTGCAATCCTGCCCCCTGGCCATCAACACACAGACCTTCTCCCTCCCAGAGTCCAGAGTCCCCAGCTGCTCCATCCTTCCACATCATCATCTCTGCCTCCATCTCTGGCATCACTGCTTCTCTGGATAAGATTCTGCAGTCCGCTCTTCTCCCTTGATGGTCCCAGGGTCCTCCGCAACTAGACTGCAAGATCAGCCACTCCCCTCCTTTTGTTACAAAATATCTACCTCTACATTTGCAACAATCACAATCAGTTCTGATAGCAATTATTCACTATTGAAACACAAGAATCTTTATCCCCATCTCCTTCACCAGTCCCATCTAGACAAGTTAGAAAACACTCAGTGGAGATTCTACCTTCCCCGTACCCCCTGAAACTAGGCTCCCTCTTAAAACATTATAAGCCAGTCACTTCGTGCCTTTGTAGCCACCCACCCACCATTTTGGATAACCAATGTCTAAGTTGCCCATCCATATCAATCCTGTGTACTGAGGAAGAAAGCTTATAATTTAAATGCACTCTTCCCACATGACTCCAATGTGTTGCAGTTTTCTGGCCATAGAGAAGGCAGAAGAGCCATGCACCTCCTGTTGTGGAAAGAAGGAGAGAGGGAAGGAGAAAGGAAGGAAAGTATGGAAGGAGGAAGGGACGGAGGAAAGAAGGAAGAAAAGGGGAAAGAAAAGGAGGAGAGAAGAAGGCAGGGTACTTGTGTGTTCTCTATGCATAAATATTTGAATGAATGAAAAATTACATATCGTATAGAATTATTGAGTCAATAGTTAGTATATGTGTGTGTATATATATATATATATATACTTTGTTGTTGTGAAGTGCCGTCGAGTCAGTTCCAACCCATAGTGACCTTGGGTTTCTGAGGAGCAGCTGGTGATCTTGAACTTCTGACCTTGAAGTTCAAACGGCTTTTGCAGTCTGGCACATATATATATCCTAGTGTGGCGCTGTGGGTTAATGCACCAGACTGCAAAGCCAGTTTGATCTGCAAGGTCAGCAGTTCAAGCTCACCAACCACCCCTAGGAAACCCTGTACAAGGTCGTTATGGGTTGGAAGTGACTCAAGAGCACTTAACAACGATATGTGTGTGTGTGTGCGTGTGTGTATACATACACACATACATATAGGAGTCCTGATGTAGTAATGAAGGATTAGCACTGCACTGCTAATTGTAAGACCGGCAGTTCAAAACCAACAGCTGTCCACTCACACCTCACTCCTTGGAAAGCCTATATAAGGTCTCTATGAGTCAAAACTGACTAGATGGTGTTTAACAACAACAAAATATTCCTGCGGATGTTTTTGTTGTTGTTGTTGTTTTCAAGGCATGTGTATATCCAGTGTGTGTGTGTGGGCGGGGGTGTGTGATGCATAGAAGTCCTGGTGTAGGAAGAGCACTGGACTGCAAACCTCAAGGTCAAAAGTTCAAACCCACCACCTACTCCTTGAAAACTCTATACAAGATCTCTATGAGTCCGAACCAACTCTAGGGCACTTAACAACAACAAAGTACTAAAATGTACAAAAGCCAGAACCTGTATAAGGTGGAAACCTGTCAGAGTAGGAAAACCCAAATAGTATCCACTAAAATACGTGATAGAAAAGTAGTCAGGCTGTACCTTGTCAAAATGGGAAAGCTGTGAGACCCAGAAAAACAGGGCATCCCATTGAGTCTCACTGGATACACGTAACAAGAGAGAGTGAGAGTCTCTAAGTGGCACAAACTGTTAAGTACTCGACTACTACCCAAGAGGTTGACAGTTTGAAAGCACAAGAGGGACCTTGGAAGATAGACCCAGTGATCTGCTTCTAACAGTACAGGCTTCAAAACCCTGTGGAGTGCAGTTCTACTCTGCAGACACAGCGTCATCATAAGTCAAAACCAACCGAAGTTGGCTTGGTTTTCTAAAGATATGCAAGGATAAATCACAAAGTTTTGATACTAATGTTACAGTTCATACATACATAGGCTTATTCCAAACAATCCATATTTAAAGTATATCTCTGATCAGTGGATGGCTGCAAACAAATTCAGTAATACACCTTTATTAGTCTTGTTGTTGTTGTTGTTGCTATGGTCGATTCTGACCCATAGTGACCCTGTATAGGGTTTCCAAGGAGCAGTTGGTGAGCTTGCACCACCAACTTTAAAGTTCAAATGACTTGTCAGTCTGACACATTAGTCTGACACATTATTAGGACTCCTTAGTCTTGTTGTTAAGTGCCGTCAAGTTGATTCTGACCCTTAGCGCCCCTGTATAGGGTTTCCAAGGAGAGACTGGTGAGCTTGAACCGCTGGCCTTGAGATTCAAACGACTTTGCAGTCTGGCACATTAACCCACAGCGCTACACCAGGACTCCTACTCTTCTTAGGATGCCTTAAATAAAAAATATAATAAAGGCCCAATGCAAACAATTGCCTCTGAGGGGATCTGCTGTGAAAGTCAAGTCATAGAGGTCAATTCAGAAGGATTATGACAACTGTATTTTGAAGTTTGAAAGGGGTAACCTTGGTAGATTTCTTGAAGGACACAGGCCAATCACAGGGGCTTCTTAGGAAAACATCTTAAGAATATTGAAAACTGTACTGGTGAAAAAAACATCAGAAAGGTTGTGTCAAAGAATTGTATTCCATTGTGACAGTGTACCTACTCATCCTTCTAGGGTATCAAGGGCTGTTTTAGGAAAATTTCCAATTTATCCTAGAACCCTGATCTTGTCCCTTCAGACTTCTTTTTATTCCCCAAACTAAAACAAACAGAACATTTAAAAAGAGTACAATTTGAATCTCTAAAGGATGCCAAAACTACCATTTTCATGTGGTTTAAACCGAAGATTATGAAATTCTTCAGGGAAAGATTAGAGAGATGGGACACCACCTTCAATAGTGTGTACATATAGGTGGAGGGTATGTGGAAAAACAACACCTTTACGTTTTGATATTTTTGTTTAATAAAAGTTTCTATGATTTTGTAGCAAGACTTTTTGACTTATGCTTGATTTCTATTTAGGCATGTGGCTTGACAAAAGCCATAAATGATCTGACCAACATAATCAAAAACAAGGTTAAATTTCTGAGATAGTAAGTTAAACCTTTAAGGACAAAAAAAGGAAGAATTCCATTTTCAGTATTAAAAAAAAAAAAAAAAAAAATTCCTTTCAGTTTGTTATTTTGTGTCTCCCTCCCAGAATGTGTTCTTTTGAGGTCCCGTTTATTTCAAGGGGAGCTATAGAAAGAAAAGAATTGGCCAATTATCTTGATTGTTGTTGGTTCTTGTTTTCATTTACAGAGCAGAGGAAGCTAAAGAAGACAGACATTCCTCTCCTGCAGCGCCTCCTACAGGGACCTTCTGAAAAGCATGCTCGCATTTTCCTCATGGATAAAGATGCTGAAGAAATTAGCAGTGATGTATAACACCTTAATCCTGAATCAGTCTTTGTTTCCCTTCTTAATCAGCATTTCCAACATCAATATTCTGCTTTCTTTTCTTTCTTTCCCTTTCTCAGGTGGCTCAGTACATTAACTTCCATTTTTCTCTCTTGGACTCTATTCTTCAAAGATTAAATGAAGAAGAGAAAAGAGAGATTCAAAGAACAGTAACAAAGTAAGTCAAGAGTAAACACTCTGCTTACATGGTATTTTAATAAGCTCCAAGGCATATAAAGTGTTCAATTTTTAATTTTTTTTCCTCTCTTTATTTTCAGATTCAATACAGAAAAGGCTATTATACTGAAATGTCTTCAAAGTAAATGGGTAGTAACAACAGAGACAACAGTTTAACATTACAGGTCGCTATTGCAATTGTGGGGATGGCACAGGACAAAGCAGTGTTTTGTTTTGTTGGACATAGTTCACTATGAGTCGGAACTATCTCAAAGATACGTAACAACACCAAACTGCTAAAACATGCCAACAAGTTAGAGAGCTATTACTATTTAATGAGTGCATAAATGCCACACCTACATTATATAACCCTAGTTAATCAGAGATAAACTTTTTGAACATTCAAATTTCTACAGATTTAGGTTTTACATATACATATATATAATTGAATGTCCAAAAAGCTTGACTTTGGTTAAATAGGGTTCACAGTTGGACTAAAATAAGCTTGAATTGAATTTCAGTAACTGAAATAAACTTGAATACTGTGTATTCCAAATGCCAATGAACTTGAATTGAAAAGGCATTTTCAGACATCATGCAGCTTAAGCTTCTTTTAGCTAGAACTCTCAAATGAACTGAAATACCATGAACCAGTTCTCAGAAATGACTCAGAAGTAAGAAGTACATCTCAAATTTTTTTTTTAAAGTACATATTTACAATATGTTTGATAGTTCCTTGGAAACTGCCATTTTCCTAAAATCTAAGACTATTCTTATATGGACCGATGAGTTTTATCTGTAACATCAGCACTCTCTGTCCTTTAAGAAAGAAAAGGTAGTATTTTTAATAGAAAATGTTCGCATAGAAAAGAACCCTGATGGTACAGTGGTTAACTTCTTAGTTGCTAACCAGAGGGTTCCTGGGGTCAGGATAAGCACTGGACTGCTAACAACAAGGTCAGCAACTCAAATCCCCCAACCACTCATGGAAACCCTATACAGGGTCCATAATGACTTGGAACTGACTCAATGTGTCACACAACAAGAACAAGGGTCAGCCGTTCAAACCTACCAATCATTCCATGGAAGAGAGGTGTGGCACTTGGCTTCAGTAAAGATTACAGCCTTGGAAACCCTATGGGGTAGTTCTACTTTGTCCTATTGTTGTTGTTGTTAAGTGCCGTCGAGTCGGTTCCGACCCATAGCGACCTTGTACAGGGTTTCCGAGGGTGTTGCTATAAGTCAGAATCCATGCAACAACAGTGGACTTATTTTGAGGGGAAGAAAAGTGGGTGGTATGAAAATATCCAGTGAACTTGAATTTAAATGGCATTTTCAGACATCATGCAGTCCAAGCTTCTTAGCTAGAACTCTCAAGAGAACTGAAATACCATGAACCAACTCTCAGAAATGACTCAGAAGTAAAAGCTACCGGTTCTTGAAATAAAAAAGCCACACATGCTTAAACCTCAGACAAGAAAATGCAAATGACTAGTAAGCATAGAAGGACAATGTTTCCACTTGACAGTAATCAACTCTATTACCCTGTGTCCAGTTAGAAGACAGAAATCGTGCAGTGAACTAAACAGAAGTTTAATATAAAGAATTATTAAGCTGTGATAGAAGAGTAACTATAAAAGTGGAAAGAGAACTCTACAGGGCACCCTTGAAGTAAAAACAGAGTACCACTGAAGGAATAGCTTAGAATGAGGGTCCAAAATTCACTGGAGAAGTTAGGATTGCAGTCCACTGGATAGTGGAGATGTTCTCTGGCTTACTCAAGTCAGAGCTGGGCCACAGTTGCCAGATAAGCAGAAGTAACCCTTTGGGGTGTAAACAAGCCAAGGGAAATGGGCAAATGTGCAGAAGAGTTGGGTGTGACTATAGGCACAAGGTCTGGAGTGCTTGGTGTCTATATCAAAAGGGTCACAGGGAACAAACCTTTGGGGAACATATGAGACAAGACTGAGCAATCATGTACTCAGAGAGGGCTGGGGTACCACTGTGGGAGCTGCTGGGATTGGAAGCTGGAGAGCCCCTGCATGTCTGAGTGTGACTTGCAGTTCAGCAGTTTCAAGAGGCTGCTATGAACAAAGGCTGGGCAGCTGGCTACTTAGGTGGACACACACAGGGCTGAAGAAAGGCTGTGGCGAAGTGATTTGAGCTGGCGTACAAGGCTGTACTGAGGCTCCAGGCTGTGCTTCAAACCAGTTGTGAGTGAGTCAGTGTGTGTCAGAGTAGAACTGTGCTAGATAGGGTTGTTTAATGATTGATTTTATGCAAGTGGATTTCCAGGTCTTTCTTTCTAAGACCTCTGGTGAACTCAAACCACTAGTTTTTTGCACGGCTCGGGGACAACCCAAGCTACACTAGCTTTGCTCAAAACTAGAACTGGACAAAGAAAGAGGGTGCTCTATAGGAATGGACTACTAGAGAAAACCCTCTGGGGTGAAGGAAATCTGTTCTCCAGGATCCTGGCCAGCTAACAAAGAGCCTTCCTCTTGCAACGTCTCTCCAGCGCCCTCTACTGACAAAGCATAACATCATACCAGCTATAAAGAATTAAAGGCCCATTCATATCAATATGCATACAGCAAACAACAAAGACTGAATTTGCAGCTGAGAAGCAATAAAATGAGAACTGACACATATAAAAACAAAGTTAAAGAAAAATGGGATATATTTTTTGTCTGTTAGAAGCATTTAAGGAATGATAATAGAAACTAAACTAATTTTAATGAGATGAGCACTCATAAGTGCTGGTAAAAATACAAATGATATAACCTTTCTTAAAAGCAATGAAGTTGTAAGTTTATCCTGCATTCCTACTTCTAACATCTTAGTATGTAGAAATAATCAGAAACATAAAGATGTTCTGCAAAGATTTTCATTATATTTATTATGGCAAAAGAAAATAGTCTAATTTTCAAAAAGAGAAAAAGAAGGAAGAAAGAAAGGAGATGCCTACTCTAGAATATTATACAGCCATTACAGTTATATTCCCTAATATGTTTTCATTGTAAGATAATTTCTACTTCTATATCCAATCCTCATATCTAATAAGTATACCCATACACATATGCATTTCAAAATATGTGTATCCCTAAGAAATGTGCTACAGGTTGAATTGTGTCTCAAAAAAATATTTTCTGAAGTCCTTACCCCTGTATCTGTTGAAACGACCCTGGTTAGAAATAATAATTTGTTATGCTAATGAGGTTATACTATTGGTGTCCTGGTCTGGCTCTGTAGGGTAATTACTGAACTGCTAACTGCGAGATCTGTGGTTCAAACCCACCAAGAATTCCTCAGACACTCCATACAGGGTTTCTATGAGTTGGAACCAACTCGGTGACATTTAACAATAACAATAATGAGGCTATGCCAGTAGGGTTGGCCCTAAACCTAATCGTTTCTAAGTAATGTCTTATAAAAAGCAAACCACCAGCAGCTATGTGAGTAGACCATCGTGGAAGTCTTCAGGTGACCCCTGTCTATCAGCTTCACTGAAATTTCATGCCAGATCCTTCACAGAAAACCTAGCTAACTCAGGTCTCAATTCCTGATTCTCAGAAATGTGTGACAGAATATTTGTTGTAGTTGTCTGCTAAATTTGGGAGTGATTTGATACAGAGCAATAGATAACTAATACAATTTCTGAGACAAAAATGTGTTCACTTCAGAGACATCTTTGCAAAATGCAAGAATATAAACTTTTGTCACAAAACTATTTAAATATACTTTGTTGTTATTGTTAAGTGCTGTTAACTCAGTTTTGACCCATAGCAACCATGTAAAGGGTTTCATAGGAGCAGCTGGTGAGCTTGAACCACCAGCCTTGTGATTCAAACAAACTTTGCAGTCCAGTGCATTAATCCACAGTGCCACACCAGGATTCCATTCTTTCTTTAGGTGCTCCAATATTTCACTACCTGTTACATACTAGTTCAAATTCAATTCTAGATTATATGTTCTACTGTGGTGCTGTGAGGAATACTGGTATGACACTGTAGGATAAGCGCTGAACTACTCATTGTAATGTCGACAGTTCAAACCCACCAACCACTCCTAGAAAAGCCTGTACAGGGTCTCTATGAGTCAGAAAGGACTCAACAACAACAGTAACATTAATGGTTCAGGACCTGTCACATTTATCATTGTATATTTTGCTGTACTTAATGTTATGTGTTGTACATAGGATGTGTTCAATGAAAACTAAATTAATAAAAGAATAGCTGAATGAGTAAATGAATGGTCTGAAATATGTTTACAAAAGCCCTTGGATAGATGCCTTCTTTTACACAAGCCTAATTTGGTAAGTGAAAAAATATAAAACTTTTTCAACACTCTCCCTAGTGCAGTGGTGTGCTTTACTATCTTTAGTTCTATAAAATATTCAGTTAGACAGTGTTATTGTAGAATGTGATTTAGTCCTGTTCATATTGACTTCTGCAGCTCAATGGGAAAATTTTTCATTAGCAAGGTAGTTGATGAGGGGGTATAACAATGAGAGACATTCAGAGTAGACTGCTCTATAGGTTTTTCTTGCCCGTGGTCTTTACAGAAGCAGTTTACCGGGCCTTTTCTTTATTGGAACCACTGGTGGGTTCTAACAGCTAAGCTTTGGGTTAGTAATTGACAGTAAATTGCTTGCATCACCCCTTCAAAGACCTCCATCTGTCTTCTAAATTAATAATAATAGCTAACATTTGAAATGGCCAATATTTGTCCTGCAAAGAATAACAATTTCATATTGTTCAAAACAAAATGTATTTAGGCAAAATATTGAATGATGCAGAAAGCATCAAAAGAAGATGGAAGGTATACACAGAGTCACTGTACCAAAAACAAATAGCTAATGTTCAATCATTTCAAGAGATAGCATATGATCACGAGTCAATGGTACTAAAGGAAGAATGTGTTGGCAAAGAACAAGGCTCTGGGAATTGATGGAATAAAAATGGAAATCTTTCAACAAACTGATGAGGTACTGGAGGCATTCACTCGTCTATGGCAAGAAATCTGGAAGACAGATACTTTGTAAACTGATTAAAAGAGGCCCATATTTAACCCATTCCAAAGAGAGATGACTCAATAGAACGCAGAAATCATCAGACAGTATTATTATATCATATTCAAGTAAAATTTTGCTAAAGACAATTCAAACACAACTGTTA